GTTTGCTCATATGCTCTGACAGAAACAAATGTATTTCTGTGACCTAGAAATGAAAGTACTCTTTCTTCCAGGCTAGCCTCAGGCTCACAGCTCTAAAGCCATCTTGCTGTTGCTTAGAAAATAAATAATAGCAATAACAGAGCAGAGGCTTACATGCCTATTCAGACGAAACCATTGTTTTTCTCTTGCATTCATTTTGGGGAGGAGGTGAAGGGATAGAGTACTATAATCCTTGAGCGATTTGAATTTCACCTTGATTTTTGAGTTATTCTATATAGAACAAGAATCAGCATAGTTCTTTAGCTCAAACATGAGGTAGAAGAAAGGAAGAAGGCGGGCAGAGTGAGTTAGTGTGTCGGAGGACTGGGCTAGCCTAGCTCTGAGTGACCCCACAGTCTCTGAGTGACCCCACAGTCTCTGCTTTCCCCTTTTTGGTGTCCTTTCTTCCTCTTTTCTTGTGGACAGGCCTTTTGTTCTTGAGGACATGACTGACATTATGCTTTAGATCCTGCTGGAATTTCAGTTTTGTTTTTCTAGATTTATTCTGTTATTTTTGTTATTATTTGTTATTTTAGTAGACAAAAAATCTTCATTTTTTTTTTAAAATTAATAAATAACTCAGCAACTATAATCTGATAGGATATCTTTTTCTAATTTTTGTGGAGAAAATTTTTTTAACTCTTTTGATGTTTTTCCGCTCCCCAGAATTTAATTTTTAGTCCTTGGTTGAATATGTATTTTAGATTCGAAATGAGATAGAGCCCAGGTTTATATTTATTATTTCTCTCACAAATAGAAATAACTTAAAATTAGGAGTAATATTAAATTTTCACTTTAAAATTCTCCTAGAATAATATCCTTTTATTGCCTTGCCTTTAAATTTAAAAAAAAAAAATTTTTTTTAATTCTACATGAAAGAGAGAAATGGTTCGATGTTTAACTCAAGTTAAATAAAATATGAAAAGAAAGTTTGTTTAAAAATTATTTGTACATTTTAGTGATAAGAATGTCTATATTCAGGAGCCAGATTGCAGAAGTAGGACAGAGGAGAAAGCGTCCTGGGTTTAGGCCCTCATTAGTTGTGAGATTTGGCCTCATCTCTAAAAGAAGTATATTGGATTAAGCGCCTGAGGGGCTCTTCCTTCCCAATTTATTTGTGATTTTATGAAGTTGCCTCTTTAAACACAGTCTTCACAATGGCTGTGCCCCAGGTTTCTAGTGATCTTTTAGGTCAGCTGACTCCTGGCCATTCCCTCAAAGTGTGCCTTAATCTGGATCCTAATTTGGTTTGACATTCTCCAGTGTTGTAAAAGGCAACTCAAGCTGGGCCGCCTCATTTGTGGCCCTGCCCCATCAAAGGCTGACAGCTCAGCAGCCTTCCTGTTCCAGAGCATGGGGAATGCCTCTGCCTGGGACTGAGCTGAGGCTGCTAATTGTTCCATTGCCAAGATCTCATTTTAACTGAAACTGCTATCCCTGAGCTGTATTATTCAGTTATCCGTGAGACCCATCGAGAACTATTACTTCAACTTGGAAGTAAAATTTAAAATGGAAGAGAAGTTGGGTTATTTTCTTTCCCAGTGTTACCTTCAGTGAAATTATAGCAGTTACTAAAACAGAAGCAAAAACAACCAGGTACCCTAAGTTTAAAAAGTAGCAGAGATTTAATTTATTTCAAACCAAGAACTGCCTACTGCCTTGTGTTTGAAATGTAAAGTGGATTGCTTGTACCCTGTCGGTTCCCTGGCCTTGAGCCAGTGCCATAGACTTGATCTGCTCAGCTCCATGCTGCTGATAAAGAACTATGTGTTGACTTGTCCTTGAAACAAAGTATTCACTCAGAGAGGATTCCCTGTTTCTTAAGGAGTTAAAAATCAAGTGCAACATTTCTTAAACTGTGTTGGCAGAGGTTCCTTGGGGGTTCTCACAAGAGAAGGAACTGGGAGGCAGAGCTGACCAGACTTTGCTGGTCAAGCCTCTGCTTGAACCAGGAGCATTCCATTTAGTAAGATTTTTTTTGGAGGGGAGAGGTTCTGCTGCAAATGAAGCCAGAGGGAAAGGAAGAGAGAGAGGGAAGGAAAAACAAAAGGGATAAGGGGACCATTGGCCCTTTGGGCTCAATTCAGTAATAGAAACATGAACATATTCATTGTTTGCACAGAATCAAAGAGAGATTGACAGTGAGGTTTCAGTGGAGGTGATAACTTGAGTTGAATCTAGAAAAAGTTTGCTGGGGAGTCAGGAAGTGAAGGGCATCCCAAAGAAAATACATCATCAGAAATATAAGAAATAGTACAGGACATTTAGAAAACACAAACAGTTTCATCTCAAGGACTACAGAATAAAAGCAAGGAGGAGCCTACCCAGGTGGTATGGCAGAAAGGGGGTTAGTTCTTAGAAGGCCCTGCGAGCCGCGTGCAGGCATTTGCTTTTATCAGGCTATATGGCACCATTAAAAGAATTCCAAAGTGAATTGCTACACGACATCGGCCAGGCCCTCTGTGTTTGTCCACAGCTCCTCTACCCTCCTTCAGTGCTTTAGTAGAGAAACAACCATTGTTTGAGGTATGATTTATGGCTCTTACCTTAAAGACTTCGCATTCCCAAACAGAAGCTGTCGATTATTATTTTTTTTGCTAAGGTCATCATTACAACATCACAGACCTGTACAATCCTGAGATCATTCAGTGTTTATCAACAGAGGGCGCAGTTGCTGCTTTTCGCTGTGTGAGAGTCACACCCGCGCAGTGCAGCAAGTTAGTATTCCTGGCCCCTGGACACCTAACGGCAGTAGCGCTATTTCCCCACTCAGTCGTTGTGAAAACTAAGTTTCCAAATGCTCTTTAGAATGGAAAGCTTGCATACAGACATAATCACTGAAGTTTGGGCAGAGATCTTATCTTTTGGTGTCCCTGCTGTTGCATCACTAGTTTGACTTCTTCTGGGACTTAACGATGTATCCTTTTTCATTCTATCTGATAAACTCAAATCCTTTGCCAAGCAGCCTTTCTCTCAGCTTTGTTCATGCTGACATGAACAGGGCAATCAGCTACATTAGATACCGGCTGTGAGGCACATTTTCATCCCAATAGATTCCAAAGCTAAAGGCAAGAACTTCATCAAAAGCCATAAAATGAAGATACAACATATTTCTAATTTAACTACCTTAGAGTTAATAAATGCTGTGTAATAACAATACATAAAATCTATCGATTATTATTTTTTTTTGCTAAGGTCATCATTACAACATCACAGACCTGTACAATCCTGAGATCATTCAGTGTTTATCAACAGAGGGCGCAGTTGCTGCTTTTCGCTGTGTGAGAGTCACACCCGCGCAGTGCAGCAAGTTAGTATTCCTGGCCCCTGGACACCTAACGGCAGTAGCGCTATTTCCCCACTCAGTCGTTGTGAAAACTAAGTTTCCAAATGCTCTTTAGGATGGAAAGATGAATCTGCTTATCATGGTCCCAGATGAATCTGCTTATCATGGGCAGAACCCAGATAAGAACCAGGCCCCTGGATTCTGGGCCAGGGCTCTTTGTGCAGTGACACTCCAGCCCCCTCCCTCAATTTCTTGAAAATTGAAATAAGTATGAGGGCTATGCCTGTGACCATATTGGATTACTGATGTAATGTCTCCTCCTGAGGGGGGGGAAGAGGGGGAAGGGAAGCAGAATAGGGGTCGAAAGGTGAAGGAAGCACTATCAGAATCAGAGTAAATAGATGTGAAAAACTGAGATATATGAGAAGGAAAAGGGCAGTCGCCTATCACCTCTACCCATTAGAAGTGTAAACGCCTCTATTACTTGCATAAACGTGCCACACCATCTATGGGATAGGCACCCAGTATTCCAGGCACTGGAAATACAATGATGAGACATGGTCCTTGCCTTCATGAAACATATAACCTAGAAAGGAAGACAATATTTAAAATGAATCATAAGACAGAGCCATAAATAATTATTGGCAGCATCTGCTGACAGCTAATTTGTGCTAGGCATGATCAAGCACTTTCTATACATTATCTAATTTAATCCCCACTGCAATACTAGGAGTTAGGTACTATTATTATTTTCCTTTTTCAGATAAGGAAACCGATGCCTAAAAGGTAAAGAGACTTGCCTAAAGTCATACAGCTGGAATTTTAACCCAGCTGGTTTCAGAAGCAATATCGTACTGCCTGAAAGCAGCAGTAGGTAAAATGTATTTTAGAACCCATATACAAAATACGTTTAGAAGTAATGGGTATTGACCATCTTTGCTACTGAGAGTCAGATGTAGACTTTAAGTTTCTCAAGGAGCAAGTGAAGAGAAAGCTTCTCTTCTGGATTTGCCCCCTCACGACATCCTGGTCTCTTTTGATTCTGTATGATTGATGCTTCACGCTGACTCCAGAGACCAAAGATGCCCACTTTGGGAAAGCAGTTGCTTATGCTCAACACTGTCTGTCTCTTTGATCATGAATTTGGATTGCTTGCTATCTGTTTTATTCTAGGCCCCCTTTTAAGATAAAGATAAATTAATAGTCTCAAGTGAATAATGGCAGAATAATGTCCAGTTGAGAGTGTTACAATACAAGATGTTTTCATCATCAAAGTAAAGAAGGTTATTTCATATAGTGAGTTTTTTCTGACTGAGGAGATACTTGTGTCTCCTCCACCCAGCTCTAGCTCCCCTTCCGTATAAATTCACCTTGGAGAGGAAGTAAAACCAGATTATTCAGCATTGCCTTTTTTATTTAATTTGTCAGCCACTGTGAAAATAAACCCAAAGACAGAGCGATGGAGGTATTTTACAAAATAAACACCAAATAGAAACTGATCTTCAAAGCATTTAGGATGCGTGTGTGTGTGTGTGTGTGTGTGTGTGTGTGTGTGTGTGTGTGTGTATGTCGTCTCCATTGGTATTCTGTAACATTAATCCAATAATATTGTTCTTTACAGTCAGAACTGAATGCTTATCAGAACTAAAATCTTATTTTATTTTTTTCTGTACAGGGTCGTCATGTCAAAACGGGCCAGCTTGCAGCCATTAAGGTTATGGATGTCACAGGGGTAAGGTATCTTTATCTTGCCACCTCAATAGCTATATATCTGTAATAGAGAAGTTAGTGATAGAAAAAAATTATTTTTTGGAAATATAATTTTTTAAATATCTAAGATACTTCCACATTTGTGCTTAACATAAAAACAAGAGTATTCGACAGCTGAATGAGAAGACTATGGGTAAATCACTCTAATTATATTAGATACCTACACACTGCCTTATGTAATTTGAATGAAGAATAAATAATTTGTGCAAGTAATTTACATAAACACAATAAGGATATTTGCATATGAAGACAGAACAGGATTTGAAGTTATTAAAATAATAATACTGAGATTACACAGAAGACATGGGTCTTAACGTTTTTCTCAAAAGTCCACCCATCACTGGAATAGACTAGAGTTTGGATAGCTCTAAAGTCCTACTAGGATATTTAACATGACTATTTTCCTCCTCAAAATATTAGCAATAAATTAATTACAATAACCACAAATTCTTATTATTATTTAGAGCAACACTGAAACAGAACTTCTCCCTGGATGATCAAAAGCAATCTAAGGAACAGACTTTATTTGAAATACAATCTTATGCTTTCAATCCTTTTTGCTAGGTCTATTTAAAATATGTTAATGTATTTTCAAGAATACAGAGCAAAAATCAGACTTGAAAGGACTCGCTGGACATCAAAAGCATGTAAATGATTTTCTATTGTCCTGGGGTTTTTCTAAGATGTCTGTCTGCTGTACATGAAAGCTAAAAGACCAAAGTCTTCCATTCAGCCCAGAAGTGGATTATTTAATGTAAATAGACATAGAATGAATTGGGCACACAAAGGTATCAAGAACCAATATACAAAAATAAAATTAAAAAAACACCATATGTCTGTATGTCAGATTTCAATTTATACCTTTTCTGGCCCAGTTTGTTACATTTAATAAGTGTATATTATATTGTATGCTATCTACCATAATACTGATGTCACTAATTTTCATTTCTATCACACATTGTACTGATTTCCTTTCTTTTTATTGATCTGAATTCTTCTTTAAATTATATACATTTTTAACCAGTAAAAATAATTGTGTTCCCATATGTTTATTAGCACTTAAAGTATTACTTCCTTTTATATTTCTTAGTACATTATTCAAATTTCAGAGGTTGCAAACTTGTTCTCATATTTAATCCCAATTAGCTTATTAATTCACCTGGCCTTTACAGAATAAGAAACTGCATGTATTTTTTATAATAATTAAGTTTTGGTTCTGCCACCTGAAACAGAATACTCAAAATAACAGAGGCTTACACATGATGGAAGTGTCTTGCTCTCCCATATTAAAGGAGTCTATCGTTGACAGCCCAGGGATGTAGGGCAGCAGTGTGGGGGAGTAGAAGCATGTTTTTACCTTTCTGCTTCATCATTCTAACGCATAGCTTCCACACATTAAGTCACTTCCATGGTTCGAGATGGTTGTCGGATTTCCATTGATCATATTCTTTGGCAGGCAAAAAAAAAAAAAGTGGGATAATAGCTGAAGAGAACCCTTTCCAGTGAAATCTCTGTTTGCATGCAACGTTTCTACTTATTTCTGCTTTCACTGGCTATACCTAGCTGCAGGGAATCTGGGAAGTGTAGTCTTTCATTCTACCAACGTGTGCAGTTAAAAACCCGGTTCTATTAGCCAGGAATGAAGAAAGAATGGATATTGGTAGGGTCAATTAGCAGAGTCTGACACAAAAATCCAGATCAGATACTATCAGTGTCCACACAGAAACCTACTACAAAGGTGTAAACCTTTTACAAAGCTCCCCAGAACAAATTAAAATTTATTTTGTAATTTTGCTGAAGACCTACTACTGTATTTTTCTTGGAGTGAATAGAAATCTCCATATAATGCAATGCACTTGGCAGTTTAACAGCTAATGGTTGTGGATGAAGTCCAAGACATTTATGCTGTAAAGTTATAGTGTGCGGTTGTGCAGAACTACAGTTGAGTTCCACTGACATCGTTAATCTCAAGTGTGCACAGACTTGTATGATGAGGCACAAATACAACTTGATAGCCCTGCACTTTTCTAGTTTCTGGTTCTGTTTGTGAGATTTTAATTTGCTTGGTGAACTACTTACTATTACTAGACCTCCTTGCTTAGAACAAAAACGTTACACAGCTATTTATCCCAGAGTACGTATATTCAGTTTAAGGAGTGTCAGGTTTTCTAAACTGGGTTTCACAAGGCAACAAAATGATTTGAGAGACTATTTTCTCAGTTCTCCCAAGGATGAGGCAGAGCTAACGCCATTTTCAATATTTATCAGAGTCGATCCATTGCATACAATGGATGCTTTGTCGTATTTGGAGTTAATTCTCTTGGGGAACCCCTGTTGAAAGGGCTGGATAGTTTCCCTGATTTAGACACATCATTGGCCATTATGTAACCACTGACCCTGAACAAAGACAAACATGGATACACATCAGGAAATGGTTTTCTTATTCCCGTGTTGTCTGATACAGCGTCAAATGACTTTTGTAACACCCCCTTATGCATCTTAGTCAACATAAGATTTCTTTTGTGAAACTCATGTGGTGCTCTCAGAAGACAATCTATTTCATCTTGCTATTTGTCTTTTGTGTATTATGGAATGCTGCAAAAGCTTCTTACCAATTATTATAATTGTGCTCATTATAGCTGCTCTGTTAAAAACTGAGATGAATTCTCAAAGGTCATCTTTGTTAATTGTTTGCAATGATCTACTGCAAAGTTACTATAGTTTATTGTAATGAAATTGATAAACCCATAAGCTTGAAATCAATTTTAAATTATTGTTTTTATTTTATATAACTTTTTAAAAAAATAAAAATGAAAAATAACCACAGAGAGAACTGAATATAATACTTATGTCCTTCCAGTTTTAGATCTGAGACACTTCCAAATTCGCTAATATTTGCATTGGAATTAGTACTTAAATTCAAATTAAGTCTTTGAAGTCCTTTTAGTTCCTGAAATAATTATGGGAACTTTTGCATTTCGTCACTTTCAGGGGGATGCCTTCCCAGCTGGATTTAGGTACTCTAAATTTGCCTACAGCATCTAAACAAAATTGTACCCTTCAGGGTAGTGTTTCTCATAGTGGACTACTAGTCACTGAACTATCAGCACTCCTGAGGCGCTCAGGGGAAATGCAGATTCCTGGGCCTGCTTCAGAATTTCTGGATGAAGCCTCAGGACCTGCCTTTTTATACAAGATTCTCAAGGAGCTTCAAACACCAAAGTCAGAGGAGCACTTTTCCAGCACTTGTATTTACAGCTTTCTGGGGCACCACGTGTGAAGAGACTGATTTCTTTGATAAATACCCATCTTCATTTGTACAGAAATTCCTGGCGTAAACTAGTCCTTTTGCAATGATAGCGTGAAGCCCAAGTAGAGCTTAATGAGATAATAAATTAATATAATAGGGTTTCACCTTTACGGTGACTGGTTGTGATCACATTACTCAGGACACTTTATTGTAGCACCAAAGCCCCAGTGAAATTGAATGAAATTGAAAACAATTTATTGGCTGTGTATATTAAAGCAAACAAACAAACTTAGTAAGCTCCAGGTTGTGATTAGGAATGATATGGTTAGGAATTTTGTCTCTTTCCATCTCTGGGCTCTATTTTATTCCCCACAGCAGCTTCAGGCTCATGCTCAAATTACTTCATTAACCTTAGTCCCAGCCGTAGTGCCAGTCTGAATATCAGTGGCCCGTCGTGGGTCATGTCACCGTTCCTGAACCAATCCTTGTTTCTCTTCAGCCACATGTGGGTTAGATGCCTAACCTGGAACCTACCGCAGGAACTAAGAGTTGGGAAGGATGCTTCCTCAAAGAAAAACCTGAGAGCTATTAAAGAAAAGGGTAGGCAAAAAACAGGAGAATTTTATCACTCTGACATCATATCGTATCATTATTGTGGATATATTTAAAGCTGATTTGGTCCTTAAGCAAAGTACCTCTCTAGTTACATTTTTTATATTTCAGCCAAAAATAATAATAATGGTAGCTAACATTGATGGAGTGATTGTTATATGCCAGAACTCTTTTAAATACTTTCTGTGTATTGATTCATTTAATCTCAACAACATACAAAACAAATTCTGTTATTAGTCCCATTATAGAGAAGAGAAAACAAGGCATATTAAGTATCTTGCTCAACATGACATGTAAATGGTGGAGTGAATCTTGCAACCTGAGCATTTTAGCTCCATCTTTTAAGTCCATCCTCTTAACCACATTGCTATAGGTCTTCAGTTAATATGGAAGAGTATTTAGTGTTTAATTTAGTGTGGGTTTTTTTCATTAATTTATTCAATAAACATTTACTAAACACATACTTGATAGGCACTGGAAATTCAAAGATGAAAAAGTGATCTTTTGTCTGAAGTAGAGCTCACTATAGCACAACTTTGACCTAAATATGTATAAGTAAAGCTAATCCATTTTACAGTTAAGTTCTAAAATTCATAAACAAAGTTACTTATAAAGTTTAACGTGTCAGTGAGGGGTAGTAATTAAGCCTAGGGGACAATCAGATGAGGATAGTCTTGGTCAAGGAAACAGCCTGTGACAAGGCATGGAGGCTGAGAGAGCAAGAAGATTAGTTTTAAGATTAAAAAGTGCTGAGGAGAGAGTAATACAAGGTAAATATAGTCAAGTTGGGGCCAGGTTGAGAGGAATTGAATGCTGTGGCAAGGACTTTACGAGATTTTCAAACATTTTATTTCCAAATAAAACACTTTGATCAAATAGTTTTAGGCAAAAATTCAATATATAGAAGAGCTGTAAGGGGAGTTGTTTTTTTTTTAAAGGGGCGGGAGGCTGTATATTCTGGCCCCTCCCCCAAGCCACTGTTAGAGGCAGTGTGGGGGCCAGAAGTTGACTAGCAAGGTAACATCATGGGATTCGCCTTTCAGAATGATCCTTGTTAAGCCCTGCTTCTCCGAGTTTCTATTTCTGTCTTATTTACTGAA